AAGGAGCGGACCGGGATGCGGGAGCACACCGGGCCCGTGCGCGCGGTGCCCCTGCGGAGCGGAGTCATAACCGCTGTCGGGGCACCGGTACGGACGGCGCCGTCGTTCAGCGCTCCGTTGGTTTCAGACAGTCGGTTTTGCTGAAATAAAAGTGTGTTTGAAACAGCGAACGTGTAATTCGTCCCGAAGTCCCGCACGCGCGGAAGCCCCCAGTAACGTTACCAACGCGCAGTAAGCGCGCAGCAGTGCCGTGGCGCAGCCCTGCCTCCAGGGGACTCCCCAGTTCCGCGCCTCTCCGCATGAGGCTTTTTAAAAAAATTCCTTACTGCGAACATCGCAGGAAAGTGAAGTGATGTTTGCTGGTGTTTATCTGTCTCCACGATTTAGGCTGCCTGGGATGAAGGGAAAAAACATCTCTCACTTAAATCCTTTGCACGTTGCTCAGAAAACTGAACCTTTGCAATTTTCTAAAACTAAAAATCTTACTACAAGGTACTGGGAAAAAGTTACTTGCTGGATGTTGCTGTTTCCATAGGTGAAAACGTGGGCATTGGCATCGCGAATTCAGGAGATGAAATTATAACAGCGCAGCTCCTGTGAGGCACTGAGAAAAGTAGAAGGCAGGCTGCAGGTGTCAACCAGAAAACTGCAGGCTGAGATTAATTACAAAATAAAGTGAGAGTTCTCCTTTCCTCAGCAGTTTTGGAGTTTCAATTCGTAGAATCATAGAATGGTTAGGGTCGGAAGGGACCTCAAAGATCAGTTGTAGAGTTTATCTTCATTTTTCCCAGGAAAACCCTGCCCTTACATCACTTAGCCAACTTGCTTTAATGCAAGTTGCTTGCTTTAACCCTAAGAGGAACAGCAACTAGTTTATGAACTGTATTACGTGTTTAAAATTTTTCTTCCTTTACAGATAAAACCTTGTTCAGAGCTATCACTTCCTGTGAGGATCTACTTCTGTGTCACTGTTGTGTCTCTGCTAAGTGTGATAGGGCTGACCATAGAGACACTCGTTCGACAAACGGAGGAAGATTTCACCATTTCTCTAATTCAGTTAGTTGGAGTTGGTAAGAAACACAGCTGTATTTTAAAACACACGTTTTTTTTTTTTCCCAAGGGAGTAATTAAGCAGCAAATGAAGTTTCTTATTTCACTCCATTTGGCCTGGTATATTACACATGGAATCTTCTGCTAGCTTAGCACTAACAAGCTAGATGTTAATTTTAACAACTGCTTTTGCCGTTGTTGCTTTTTCCAGTAGTGTTTTAGGGAGAGGATTAGTAATAGATAGGGTGTCATCCAAAATACATTAATATGTGAATAATGTGAAAAATATTCAGGTTTCAGGAAGTTTTGCTATAATTGGCTTTCTTACTGGTGTTTCATTAGGCAGATGTGGTGATGATTTTGCTTTCAAAACGTAAGATACACTGAATGTTCACCTATGCCAGGAGGAGCTTACCATTTCCCATTTTAAGATCTGTGCCGTAATATGCTGGGGAATTCAGAGGTGTTCACACTCCAAGCTTGTCACAGGACGTACATCTCCTGACACGAGCCATGCTTACACTCGAGTTGTAGTTGGTGTCAAGGCACCTGATGAGATTGCAAGAAACCAAACATACAGTTTGATCTGAAACAAGAAAATGTTAAGTCATCTCTCTGTGTTAAGTTCCTGCAAGGATATTGCTTCACCTGAAGTAATTTAATAAAAGAAAATAATCACCTTTTTTTTTTTTTTGGTCTAATAATGTTTGTCCCACTGCAAGCAAAATCCAAACTTCCTTGGATGTTTCCAATTAGAGCTGCAATAGAAACTTATGCTAATATTCCTGGGTCCATTTATATTAAATAGAAATGAAACTTAACATGAAAATAAATACAAGAATTTTAGGAAGTCCTCTTCAGTGGCTTTAGCAAGTCTTGGCTGTTGGCTCGCTGGCTCTCTGCAAGTGTAAGACCTTGTGTAGGAGAAGGCCATGCTAATCATTCAGTCATTGCTTTCCAGCTTTCATGCTTTCACCCAGAGGGAACAAAGACAATAGATTTGTTCCAGCTTCTATAATTAGACACATACAAACAATATTTTATTCCAAAACTCTGGTTTGATTAGCAGCTTTTCACACAAGACTCAGCATACCAACAAAAATAGCGGCGTTAGGACAGACCATTGGTGCCTCCAGTCTGTCACACTGTTTTTGTTAGCAACCACTGTTTTGTGCTTCAGAGAAAAATGAAGAACCTTCATCATAAATCAAATGAATCACATGATGTTACAAATGGGGAAGTTGAAAGCATGCTTGCTAATCTATTTTCCCCCCTCCTACCTTCTGTTGATACTAATTAGTATTCTATGCTGCAACACACAGGAAGAAGTGCACACCTCTCACAAGCCTCTGGTTTAAATCAGGAAAAATAGTGTCTTTTTAACACATTACTTCAGGTTTCAAAGTTTTAATATAAACAAAAGTTGTCGTCAGTAAAAATAGCATCATTCAAGGAACATGGCTTACCTTGAGATTTTAAGATGTGTAAGCTAACCTCCATAAACGTGCCAAAACCATATGTTTTCCATAGGGTAGACAAAGACTGGCAGAACTGATAATAGTTCTTCAGAGAAAAATAGATGCCCTGGCTGTAACAATCTCTTGGATTTACCTCTAGAGATATTTAATTTAAAGAGGGTTTGGGATTTAATTTGTTGGAAAATGTTCACTTCAAAAAAACAAGGGGATGTATTTTATTTCAGAAAAATGCATATGCTATCTCTGCAAAAATCTTAATGCTCAGAAAAAAGTTTGGTTTCAAATTATTTGTACAGACTTCTGATTTAGCAGCTGACTTTGCAAAACGAGGAAGTAAATCTTAAAATCTTAAATCTTTCAGGTCTTCTGAGGTCATAAGCATGCAAAAAAATTGCATGATTTACTTTGTAATTTGCCAGTCATTTTCAGTTTTCTCAATCACGGTTAATAAAAGTGAAAAAGGAAGTTCATTCACTGGCAGGTTTGTTTAGCGAGACTGAAGTTATTATGTTACTTTGAAAACTTCTATGACACTTTGTTCCCATATCCCAACCTTGGTAAACTATATTATCTGATGTGTGGTATCCAGGAAGTAGCCCTCTGGGAAAAAGAAATCTATTGTTACTTTGTCTATGGTAAGAATTAACTAGTGTTTGCCGGAGCATCCTATATAAGAACAAAGCACTGATTCCTGTTTTTATGAAAGGAAAGCCTTTTCCTTATTTAAGCTTTTTCAAAACAGACGTGTAGAGTTCAGCAGTGAAACATGACTCAGAATTTTCCCGAACCAGTTCTTTTCTAGACTACGGTTTGCGGAGTGAGGCGTTTCAAAATTTCCACAGCAAAAATAAACTCTAGGAATCCAGGCTGTCAAGTTCAATTCAACACGCAAGCCATGTGTAGTGGTCAGAACCACACAAACCATACTGTGGAGCTATGTGTAAGAGCAGTAAACTCCTTGTTAGTCTCTTGAATTACTCTCACTGAGATGATGATGTAATTTCAGTTCTTTAATAAAAATGGTATTACTTAATTTAATTCAAATGCACTATTCGACAGTGTTCAATATAGTATCAGTAGAATAACAGACCACAGCTGCCAGTTACTTTGGATAGCTAATATGCTGCCATTTTCAAACTGTTACTTCACAAGTAATTTAAAAATCTAAGAGATTGTTTCATTTCTTGTGTGCTGAACACAGGGGGGAGTACTCATTTCAAGCACCTGATTCAGGCTTGTCGGTAAGAATAAAGATATGCTCTTGACTGAGGAGCCTAAGTTACACGGTCTTGATACTTCCATTTTGTCATCTGCAACAAGCGTATTGAAAAACTGCACCGTGTGCCATCTGTGTTCACCTGGTAACTGGCCTTTCCTTCTCCTTCCCAGTGTTCTGTGTATACTATGTGACCAGAGGGATCCTGCAGGAGAATCGCCAGGAGCTCATCGTCTTTGTTCTTTCCATCTTGCTCGTGATGTTTCGTTCCGTTGTCAACTTCACGGTTCTCTCTGCTGAGCAAAAGCCGAAACTCCTGGTTAGTCTCCTGGCTTGAATTAACTTTGCTTTTCTCCACATCTTGGGATTTGAAAAATCTCAGAAAGGCATGACATCTGTGATAAGGGCACGGATAACAGAGAAAAATCAGGCTGAAGTATTCCTACCACTGAATAACAAAACATGCCCCTCCACAAATGAAAATCTGTTTCTCTGAGCTATTCTGTGGGTTTCTTTATGGCAGTATCTGAAAGTAGCATAAATATCAAAGAATTTTACTCACACAGGATTACTGCAAAGATATCCTGCCCCTACTGTGCTTCAGATTTCTGTCTATAAAATGACTGGTGTAAAGTCACGTAAATCTAACCTACGAACTGAACGGGAATCTCAAGTCTATATGCAAGGACATAGATTAGCCTCACTGCTCCACAAGTGCAGCATGTGTTTTCAAGAGAATTATGGTAACCTGCTGCAAGGAAACAAAAAGATACAGCATGCTAGGGGAGGTACTGCCATTCCAGATGATCTTGTTTGCGTTTTGTAACAATAAATTGTAATACAAGGGGTTGTATTCTATGCGTTACTCTGATTTCTAGTTAAAGATTTGTAGTTAAACTTCCACTTGCCGTGCTTTTCAGAAATCCTTCCCTTTGGTGGTCGCACATTTATCACAAATGTGAGAAGGAGGTTCCTTGCTGTGAAGTCATCCAAAAATTATTCTTCGACAGAAGAGATGGCAGCCAAGCTAGGAAGATGCAGCAAAGCAGAATTTGCCTATTCAATTTACATACCAATTGTACTTTTAGTTAAACATACTTATCTTCAACAAACTGGCTTGTTAGGGTCAATAAAGAACAGGCATCAGAGAGATGTAAATCACTTTAAGGTGTGCATCCCAGTCATCTGTTTATATATTAAAAAAGAACCTCAAAGTAAAGCCTAGTGTAGAAGATGGACTATTATAAAGGATGTTTTGCCACTTCAGCCATCTTCAAAGCAGCAGACTTTTAGTATGAATGCCAGCAAAGTTGTGTATACAACCCAGAAAAAAAACAATGTTTTCTGAAATTTAAGAAGTACAGCATTCAGAATAACCTGCTGTCCCCACTGAAATCAATGGGAAGATTCCTACCAGTTGGTTTATGCCCTACAAGAAGCTTAGAGAGCCAGTCTCTGTCAAAGAAAGCCATTTCTTCAAACTGTGTGGTAAAACCTCAAAGAAAACCTTGCTAAAAGTCATCATGATATTACAGGGAGTGCAAAGGTTATGTTTCTTTTAACAGTTGCAGAACTGCTACACAGAGGGTCATGTAAGCCAAAATAGCCAATGTCAGTTTATAGTTATTACCAAGTGGTTGCAATAAATGGCAAAAATCATGGCCTGATCTTTGCCACTTAACTGCAGCAAACTCTCGTCTTTAATTGTTTTCTATTAAAAAATGCTATTACTAGGCAGCCTGGCTCTCCTTACGCCTTTATCCTTTTAGTTATATCTTCCAGTTAGAAGAGTTAAGGTCAGAGACTGTGTCTGTGTTGGCATGGCCAGTCACATCCTTATTTCTCTTTCCCCTCAGGCCCGCTTCATTCTCATCCTCTTGGTTGGCTCCTTTGATGTGATCTGTGCCATCATCCTCATTCAGAGTCAAAGCATGATGGCCTTCCGAGTGGGTGGTGCTCTAGAAAGCCTACAGTCACAGTACTTCATGCTGAACCTCTGTTTTTCTATGCTGACCTTTGATCTTCAGGCACAGGTATAGAACTCTCTCCTCCTGGGTTCCCTTTTTTCCCTTGTCTTGAGAATATCTTAGACTAGCTGAGCCCAACGTCCTAGAGCAATCCCACCTGTATCGTACCTTTTAAATAAGATTAGTTTAATAATGGGCATCTCTCCAGGTGTTTGCTATAGGGAAGCTTAGTTAAAATCCATAAAAAAAGAATCAACATATATGTTATCATTGTCCTGCCCAAAAGGAAAACTGATTCTTATTTTTGGGAGGTATGTTCATAAAAAGAGTTGCATCCAGAATCTCCAACCCAACATAGCCTCCTAAAATAAGAAATATTTCACTGCACATCTCGGCCTACAGTCTCTTGCTTTCCAGCCATCCTAGCTGGAAAGTTTTTTCTCTTACATTTGAGAAAATGATACCGGGATGGGAGAGGGGAGCCTGACCTAGCAGGGCAATCAGGGTGAGAACAACCTGAAGTTACAGGTAAATGAAGCGAACTCAAGATCTGTTTAGAAAGAGTTTGTACTTCTGTACACTAGCCTTCATTCCTACTTCACTACTGTATTATCCTGTATTACCTTATGCTTTATTTGGAGCACATCTTACTGCCTTCCCTGTTCTTTGTTGTTGCTAATAAGGCATACAGGGAAGTATGTCTGTCTTTGGATCACGTTTCATACTGTCAGTTTCTGAGGAAAAATTTTAGCCTTTAAACCTGCGCCCAACTTCCTGTTGCTGGGAGTTTGCGTCAAATATTTTTTGGTGGGCTCTATGATTTCAGACTAATAATTTTACCAAATCTTTGCCTCTTCTCTTTCAGCTCTGCTTGTGTGTTCTGCTGATAAGCCTGCATGAGATCACCCTTCTACATAATATCATCTCAGCAACAGGGGTTCTTTGGGCCTGCCTGAAGGTGACCATCGGCATCATCGCAGTAAGTGCTAAGCTAACAGTAACACCATCTGAGACTGCAAGTTCTCACCCTAAGGAAGTATCACAGGCTGGAAAGTCAGAGCAATCCATTCTACATAATACTGCTAAGTGAAAGGGAGACAGAGTGGATCTCAGCAGAAAACAAGAGCACCAACAATAATGAAGCCAAGTTTCTTATAAATCTCTGTCTCTCGACTGAGCATACAGGATGAAACAACATCACACTATCACTATTCCTTTCTGAGGGACATTGTTTTGTTCTCAGTCCTTGATCACCTACTTTAATGAAAACTATAGGATCACAATATCTTCAATATTTCTACCTTTCTGACAAGGTTAGGTGAAACTAGCAAGAGTCCTCCAAATTATTAAGAAGATGGATATACAGACACAGCGAGACCGCATAGGTCTTGTATCCTTAGGGAACCACACCAAAAAGATGAGTGGTCCTTTATTGGGGCAGCTTCTTTAAAGGTGAGTGACAGTTTTCAGGTTAACATAAGGATTTGTGAACTCCAAATGTAGTTTTTCACGTCAGTCAGACTGAACTTCCTCTGAAATTCTGAGAGCTCTGTTCCAAGAATGATTGCAGAGTCAGGGCCAAAGTACATCAGATACGCGAGTCTTTCGTTACCAGGAAGGAGTTTAGGGGATTTCAGGGTTGTTGTTTTTTAAGGTTCCTTGAGTGTTTGCTTTAGCCATTCACACAAATTCCTGACAGCTGAAAGACAGCTTTCCAAGTGTTTTGATTGCTTTCCTCGCTAACAATGGAGCTAGCACCAAGCACTGTGCTTTTAAAATATTTCAGTAACTTTAGGTGATAGTTGCACAGAATCATCTTTCTCCTGGACTTTGGAGTGTCGTAGCCACTAACAGCTATCCAGCAGGTAAACTGGAGATAGGATTAACTGAGTGTGACACTTAGGAATGCAGATAGGGATATTAAATAGCTCGGTTTCCTCCTAGGAGTTCCTTACATAGCTTTGTGAGGCACTGAATCTTTGCTTTCAGTTAAATTGTATCAGATGTGGAAAGAAGGAAGCAATCAGAAGCAGGTCCGTTTTCCTACTGGGATTAACAGTGTAAACCTTTCAGCTACTTTTCCCCTCCCCATCAGAAATAAAGTTGATCTGACCAGTTGCTGTTCACAGAGTACATCTTTGCTTCTCCTTGATGTGCCTTCAGGCATTGAGAAGCACTGTTTCTTTTAAGAAAATAAAGAGGAGCTTCATTTAGATGGTCTCATGTCTTAACATGCATGATACTCCTTATGCCTTCATCAGTAGAAAACGTGTTTCTTAATAGTTCAAATAGTAATAGTAAATGTCCTAAAAAAAAAAAAAAAAGTACTAGGGATAAGCACATACTCTTGGCCTTTGCTCAAAACTGTCTGTATTAGAACTACTTGAAAGCTACTTTTTACCCACTCTAGGTACATTATTGACTTCTCTACTGGAAGAAGTTAACAGCTTCTTGTCTAAGAAACGGCAAATGTAAAATTAATGAAAAAAAAATGTAGTGCTGTATTTCAGCAAGTAGCAGCACTGCAGGGTAAGAGCAGCTTAGAAAAGGTGAATACATTTCATGAGAGTCTGGTAGCTTTGTATCAAGGTAAAAATAAGGCAGTTTGACAGAGGGGTCACAACAGGAACTCCTTGTCCTTACCCCGTTCAGACGAGTTTTTCACAATCAGCGTCTTGCAGATGATGCAGCAGTAGAGAAACATGTGTCCTTGTCTTGTTTGGTGCCCTCAGAAACTGCACCTGCTATGAGGTTATGTAAGAAAGGTGTGGAGACATACATAATCCACCAGAAAGTGTGAGCGTAGCAGAGGGGAAAGTGCCTCATACACAGTCCCTTCTGATATCCGCAGTACCTGAAGGCACAGCTAAACCTCATGCTCCCTCATTTCTGGGTTGATGCACGTGCTGTTTCACAAGGAAATTATTCATTATTTTTCTTCTGTTTATATACATCCTCTCCCATTTACTTCAGTGGATTTATTTTTCCTATCTCCATTATTTATTTTTTCTCTTTTCTCCCATTAATTATGAATTATCTCTTTCCTCCTCCTCTTGTTTCTCAGCCTTCTCTCCTTTTGGTCTTATCCTAAGAGGAGCACTATGCAGTACCACAGAAAATGGAGACAATAGTAGAGGTAGCAGGGACCAAACTTCCGTAGGGGAGGGACAGTTCCCTTATTGCTTTTGTAGAGGTTCAAATATTGACCACCACAGAAGGATCAGGATTGGTTTTGAGGGGAATCTGTGGCTGATCAGATGCATCAAATCTTATCACAGCATTGGTACAGTCACTGCTTTCACTACCAGTGACTCAGCTGTTTTTCTTTTATTTGCTCAGACCTGCCCTTCCAGTTCAGGACTGGAAAGAAAGTTGCTACCTGCTGGAAAGCGTTCACTGTTTCTTCTTTCCCATGTCCCAGTGTTAACTCTGACAGTTAAATCCTCTTGCTTCTCCCACATTTTAGTTCTCAGTGACTTTAATTCTCTGTAGTAGAAAAAAAAGGTGGAGAAAAAAGTCACAGAGCACTCTCAGTCTGTTAGCTATGAAAACATTAATTTGTTGAAGAAAATTTGAGCGTACCCCAAGTACATCAGCTTAGATAAAACTCAGAGGAATCAGCTGCTTCTCCATGTAAGATAGCTGGGAGTTGTACTGTAAGTACTAGAAGGCAGAGCTCAAGATGACGCTGAGATGGCTCAAATCACACACAGCTGTCAGGATGTACCCGTGAAGCAACCAGTTCTGATTTCACCAACATCACTCCTGGTCCAGTTCAGTGAAAAACAGAGACTGTATTTCCTGCTAAAAAAACATAGGTAGAGAAGGCAAGTGGAGAGCAAAGTTACAACTGAGAACTCACCTAGACCAACACTTGAAACGATACTGAAAAATCAACTGTATAGAGCCTTTACAGAGTATATAGCAACAAGTTATAAAGCTGTATATGTCTCATCTTATTTTACAGATTTTAAAAGAACTGAAACCTCTAGTGTGGATTTTTCTGAGTCAGAATGTACCTGAAGTAGCTTATCTCACCTACCTGCTTTACACGGTAATTCATCAGACTTACTTGCTCGGTAATGGGGAGCAGGCTGGAAGCCTCCTCTTCCTTACTGAATCCTTGGGCCTAAAACATGGTGCCTCGTTCCTGAGCATGCTCCTTCATTGCAGCTCCTGTTAGAATCAATAAGAGCAGCAGGCACGTCCTACCTCTTCAGGATCAACTTTTCAAGACATGTCAAATTGCTGTTGAACTGATTACTTAGAGGGAGAGGCCCTGGAAGTCTCTGTACCTGGCAAACTGTCTGGAATGATTAGGGAAAAATGCAACAAAAACTTCCAGTACAAGATACACAGCTCCTCAAAAATGCCTCCCTTCCTTCACAACAATTTTCAAGTGGTGCCAGAGCATTTGACCATCTGCAAGGCCTCAAAAGTCATCATATTTTAAAGAATTTCTCAGGCAGCACCCCCAGCTGTTGATCCTGGTGTAGCCAAAACAAGAGACAGTACAAGCCCAACAAACTCCCGTGTTAGGCATTTTTTGGCACTATAACAGTGATAAAGTACTTATCACTAGAGCAGCCCAGCACCTCCCACAACACGTGAAAGGAGGTAGGGAAGAAGGGCAAAGCAGATTGTTCATCATGGGAAGGGCTTGAATGCTGATGGCAGCCAGTGTGCCTCATACTTCACATAAAGAGTCTCCAGATACTGGTAAAAGTCCAGTGGCTGCAGTCATCCAAGTCCTTGGGGTCCTGTTTATGAAAGTGTGCAGTCAAATCAGGCTCTTGCAATTATTCACAGGCCTGTTGGATCTGGCAAAGCACAGAAGGACCACACACTGTCTTTGGTGGCTGTACTTTACTGGAATTGCTGTTAGGAAGAAAAGAAAAGTACAGGTGACATAAGAGTAACATGACTTGAAAATAGCTAGGTCTCCTTCCATTTTGCACGGTAACAATGAACATGCAAGAGTGACCAGCAAACAAGGGTATGGATATGCAAGGCAACACTCCTCTGTGCTAGAGAGATCTGTAATATAGTCACTTCTGCAAATCAATTCTTTTTAGCATCTTTTATCTGACTACCTAAAGGCAAAATAAAAAGGAAAAGTAAACTGCCCTTCCCAGTAATTACTTCAGCTCTGAAAAAGCTGCTAGATTGACTCTATAGAGCAGCTGCTTAACAACCCTCTGCAGGGTTGTGTAGACAGGAAAACTGATAGAGCTTAATAAATAAACAAACTAACTGCACCAAAATTGGCCAGGACATCCATAACCTGACTTGATTCGAGATACACACCATTGGGTTTGTTAACAAATCAAGGTAGCCAGAACTGTGCTTTTTTAAATCTCATCCTGATGCTGGGGCAGTGACTCAAACCTGCAGGAAGGGGGAAAAAGAGAACTGCTAGATCTTACTATCTTTCATTCATTACTGGATTTTTGCAGAGGTCTCTCATCTTAGTATGAACATGCCTGATCATACTTTGTCCATGGGAGCTGCGATCCTTCTTCAATGCAGTTGATAGCTGCAGGATATAAATATTGTTGCTTTTAATTAAAAGTTGCCATTTTCTCTGTTTCAGAGCCCTCAAAAAAGCACAGGTTAGGCAAATACTGATAAGCACAGTAATCAGGCTAGCTGTGAATGAAAATGGGATCATGAAGCCGGCCACCAGACGTGCCTGACAATCACAGTACAATGACAGCCAGGGAACATAATTTCATTCTGTGTTTTACAGCAGAAAGAAACTGAGATGTAAGATGAAATCTGCTTTCCCTATCTCCAGCTCAACTGTTTGTTTTTTTTCAATCTGGGCACAATTTTCTTATGCCTTTAATGATGCAGAGACCAGAAGGTATAATGCACTTGGCTAGAGTCGTTGTGCAGCCAGAGGAATGGTGCTATCAGGAAAGTAAGTCGCTATAAAAGTGACCAGGTTTCTGCACCTCAACACCCACCCCCTCCCACTACTATCCAGCGACTTCCTTCAGAAATTAGTGGTTGATTGCATTGTATGGCTTCAGGGTTTTGTGGCACAAGGTGTTGATCGTTGTGTGTCTCTGTTTTCCCACAGGTGATCAGGGAGTGGGGCAAAGGGAATTCTTACACTCTGGAAGCTGCTTTCATTACCGGCTCCTGCATTTCTGTTGCAATAAAATCTGTTTTGTTCTGGGCACTGCTTCATGTCTACCGCAGCTTTGGGCAGGGGCTGAGAGAAAGAAGTAAGTACTTGAAAAGCTTAACTATGAAAGTTGTAGCCTATTGTATCACAGTCACAATGAAGTAGAGAGCTTGTTGAGCCAGGAAAATAGGTAGGGACAGCCACAATAAAAAGTAGATCCCTAATGACATCGAGCACTACTGCAGCCTCAGGATTTACTGGCCTGACAAAGCTCAGAAGCTTGGATGGAACATAGGTGAACTCTCCCTGAGAGTTGCTTTCCAACCTATACAAGAATTGCTGCAATCCAGAAAAACAGACCTGTGTGGAAAAATCTCTGCTATACAAGATACATGTAATTTTTCTTGTTTATCATGCTGTATAACTGCTTTATAATAAGACAGACAGAATAAAGGGACCTAGAGAGCCCCTAACCTTAAACTACCCAAACTCCCTTTTACACAAAGGACATAAATACTGCTGGGCATCGGTGTTGACTGATCTTCCCGTCTTCCCACAGTGTTTTCTTCCTATGGAAGGATCGACTCCTGAGCATCCATCCCCCTGGTGTTCTACCTGCAGCTCTTACAGAGTGGAATCATAGCTGGGAAGTACTAGCATTCAGGATGTAAGACAACAGGTCAGTTTCACAGAGGAAAAAGTCTCTATACATTTCTTGGTTGGTATTGTGCTAGGGAACTCTAGCAGTGCAACGGGTAACTTGGCTTAAAAAGCAAAGTGTGCCGCGGACATTAACAGTAATCCTCTCGATTCAATGAGTTTTCCTGACAGGACAATGCATCTTTCACTCCTTGTTTTCCTGATGTTGCTTTGTAACTGCAGGAGGTTCACAACATGCATGTCAGTAGAGAATGCTGTTAATAGAAATGCTGTTTTTCTGGATATACACAACCATAATGAAGATAATTTGTACACCCATTTTTTATTACTGAGTCTAGAAGTGGATTGCCCTACCAGCATTTCTCAACTGAGATCTGTTGCTGAACAGAGGTCAAGCCTCGACGTTGTTTTGATGACAGCTGTATTCCCTACTCTCCACGATGGCTGTGTCATGGCTTAACCTGAACAGAATGGCTAGGGCTCTTGTTCCTCCTCTAACTTCACAATATTTCAATTTATTTATTTATATTTAAAAATCCCAGCTACAAATGAAAACTACACAATGTAATCTCCTGCCTTCCTATAGCCTATCTAACCGATGTGCCATTTCATACACAAGGATGACTGTTAAAATAAGCCTTTAATATTGTAATTTAAAAGTTTGGAATTTTATTGACTGGAACCTTTAGCTACTGGCTGTCTAGTTTTTAATAAAGTATAAACACAGTTTGTGCATGGATAATTATTTCTCATATCAACAACATGAGTTCAATGGGAAGCCTGTTTACAAGCTGAGTATGGAAGAGGCTGGAGCTGCAATTCACACGTGCTGTGAACATTGCCATCACGTTCCTCTTCAGATACATCTTTAACTAGCAGGTACCCATATGCTGCAAGAAGTAGTTACAATAGTTTATTGCAGCTTATTAGGGAAATTTACAAGGATTATCTCAAAAGTTCTATTAAAACCCCCTGTTTTTCTCATCCTAGTCTTCTAAACCTGAAACAAATCTATTTTATAGATAGCACAATGGAGGCACGAAGAGGTTAAATGTCTATGGTCAGACTGCATACAGCTGACAATATCAAGAGAAAGCACGGGAGTACCAGCTGATGACTGTGACTTCATTCCACAAGTCAAAATGTGACTATGAATTGTTGCTGAAATGGAGGAACACAATTTAGCACATTCAACCCTTTTCTAAAACAAGCAAACATGCTGCAGGTCTTGCCTAGAGCAGGAGCAGCATGGAAAGACTCAGTCAAAATTAGCTGAAGAAAGTAGGCCTGTGCTATGCTCCATTTATCTTCACAGCAAGGAGATGGCAGAAACAATTGTATAATTGGAAGGAAAAAAGTTGTGATTACATTCAAACGTTTTTCTCCCCAAAAGCAGAAATGTATTGTTATGCCTTGGGGAATTAATCTTCGTATTTTCACAGAAAAACGGTCTTATTCTTGACTACGGTCTTAAGTTCCTGTAGAAATCTGCCTGTTCTGTTGCACAAGGTCTTGAAATTAATACTCGTGTAGATAAGAGCTACTAGGCTGAACCTGTGAAAGCTTCCCCAACACACAATCCTGTCATCATCTGTGGATGATATCTTTGGCCTACTCTAAACTGAAGCACTTATTTTTTGCCCAGCCACTCTAATCTTGGATGTAGACAATCATTAAACCAACTAGTTCAGGCAACCGACTTCACCTTTTCTATTAATAAAGCAGGAGATCAATCCAGCTAAATCCAAAGTTACCTTTGGAGAAATCCAAAGCTACTCATCACATTTTTGTAACTGGTATTTGCCAATAGAAGAGGAAGACAATGGGAACAAATCACACTGTACCAAACAAATGGAAGCTGCTGCTCTACATGTCATCAAGAACTTCCTCTGTCAAAAGCTATGGTGCCTGCAGAAGATACTTCCTCACGTATATCAATTATTTGACATGCGTGAACTATTGGAATAGGTTACAGATCAATTATGAAACCACAAGACTCTTAATCAGAATCATTAGCCACCAGTTTCATGGAATAAGTGTCTAGAACTTGGTCCCAACGTGCAAAGGCAAGGATAGAACGGGCATTTAAACTACATTTTCAGTCTTAAATTTACTAGGTATCCAAATTATCCAAGATTATCTTGGATTATTGCCCTTTCTACTCTTGGGCCTTCAAATAAGTAGTTAATGTAGCCCAACTAGTTGTACAGAAGATTTGTTTCAACTTGCACAGCAAATCCAGCTTTATTTTGAAACTTGTGAGGAAAGACTGGTATCAGACATATTCATTAAAAAAACCCTTAGGTATATTTCTAGAAAACAGATGCTACTGTCCCATGAGATGATGTATCAAAGCCCCACACTGGACATCTGCCTTCCAAGCAAGTAATTGTGTATACCTAATTTTATGTTCTCAACAGTCAAAGTGCTGCTTTACAAATTCAACTTTACAAAAAGATTTTATTGAAAGGATTGAAAAATATTCGTTTTCAGCAATATTTAAAACAAGTTTTCAAAGCATTAACAATATGTTACAGGATTTTTCCTCTTAAAAATTCAGTATACTGCTTTATTCCACACTACATCAGTTGTTAATAACTTCTAATACTCTCCAATAGAGAGTAACTTTTTCTTTTTTTAAAAAAACACAACAAATTAATTTCCAAGCTTCCATTTTGGCCCTTGGTAGACTGGAAAGGATTTGTAGATACAGTGATATTTACAAATCCTTATATTAGAAACACACTGCTCTTACTCAGCAAAACCCTGTTTTACTGGTACAGTTTGAATAAGCTACATCAGCAAAATGAGCTTTTATTGCCAATACAACCAAGTCTGCATTACAGCTTTTTTCTGGTTCAGCTCTGGTTGGAACACAAGTTACCCACGCTTCAAGCAGTTCAACATGCACAACTTGAGCGCTGTTTAAACCTCACCAGTCTGCTTGTGAATTGCTGGTTTGCAGTTTAAAGGCCTTGAAAAGGGACTTTGTACAGTTAGATAAAGTTGTAATGTATTAACACAATTTGGGTTGTGTTCTGATACAAAGCAACTAGTGCAATTATAGCCAATACAGCTTTTGGAAAAAAAAGCAAAGACCAAAGCCCTCGTGTGACTGACTTGCCTTTAGGCAGCGCGTGTGGCTCCCTCCTTGGCTGATCAGTGATCCGAATAAGATTATCAAGTGGGACAGAAGTCTGAAAGCCAGTAACGCAACGGCACTACGTGATAAATGTACGGGCAGCTCCTAAACTGGATCTGATCTCGAGAAAGCAGTTAGGCAAATTGTGATTGCAAGTTTCACAAACTATGCACTCTGAAAATTAAAGTTCGGCAATTTAGTCAATGATAGCTATTATAAAAAGCATAAATAAAAAGTGCTGAATATAGTTTTATCTTTAAAAAAAGTACTAGATAAGGCTCATTAATCATTTTGCCTCACCTCCACAAAATGATTTCCACTTCCTAGCGTGCCTATTATTCTGCTTGCTTTTCACTTAACAGTATTTATATAGCCACTGTACCCTGTTCCTTTTGTCAATTATTGCATGTTTAAATAAAATAGTTTCAAAGCAAAAAGTCTGACCTTTCTACAGTTCAAAAAGTAAGCAGTTATTTAATAACTGAATACTCCATCTAGGAAACCCATAAGCAGCTTCAAAACAGCGATAAAACAATTACTGCAGATTCAAGTGAAAGATAAATCCCAAAAGCTATCTGGATATTCTCCGAGACTTCACAAAATTTGTCTATTTAGACCAAATCAAAACAATATTCTATTTTACAAAATTTACAAACCGAGTATTCATTTCTATTAACACATTCCCATTGTGATTTGTATAATTAACCAAGAATTTGCTTCTCTTCTATGTAACAGTGTTTTCACCCGGATTTAATAAAATTAGACAGACTAGGGCAGCATCCAAAATGGAAGAGACATTATTTAAACCATCAGAGGACAGCAGGTTAGGCGGAGTTCGGAAATTAATACATTTCTCATTACCACTTTGGACCGTATAAACAACATAAGACAATCATGAAAAGGTCAACAGAGCTTCTCTCTCCACTTTAAAGGAAATCCCACCTTAATCAGTAAATTAATTCCTCCACAATATTATGCTGTAGGCTTAAATTTAACAGATAATGTCCATTCCTTTAATCACCAATGCAGCAAGACTTTGAAAATGCCAAAGTTTGGACAGTATGATCATGAGACTGCACCACAGAGAACATAAATGTAAACATTATACTTGGGTTTGATATTTTTCAGTTAAAGTACGGTACAAACCCTTTTCCCTCCCATCTATTTTCTGTTGGTTTTTTACTTTTTGTTTGTTTGTTTTTCTTTCATAAAAGCACATACAATAAAATATATACATAGAGAAGTTAGAAACATTTGAAAGCATCTTAAAAAAAGTAAATACAAGACTTAGAATATCTTGAGTGTGCTGAAGGCACCATTGCTACTCTACTGGGAATGTACCCTCTCATTTATCAGCCTACCACACAGTATCCCCTTCTGTATCACTCAGCACCAAGAGCTGGAAGGTATCTGTGGAAGTTGAGGGCATTCAGGGGCTAGTATAGGATATTATTTCCTTCAAGACAATAGTGGAACTAGGCAGCATAGTAGTAATTGAAGTTCAGATTCTTCTTGAACAGTTGGATAATTTTTTTCTTTATAGTCTCTGACACTACCATTTACTCCAGAGATTCAGAACAAAACCAGTAAGAAAAATCAACACACTGATGAATGCCACCAACAGGAACTGCAGAGCTATAAACTAGCTCAGCTACAAAAACACAGATGACTAATCACCAACTAAGTCCACGCTAATGCTTGTCCATGCTATTTGTGGATATTTACACAGTGATGACAGCCAAGGGTCAAACACTGTTCAAATGGGCATAAGATATATAGATAGATGTGT